GCTAATAAAATAGTCATGAAGAGAAGCTGGATATGGATAAAAGTAGGGGGTCCTGCACTGCTTCCCTGCTGCACTTCCCACCTGCCCCTGGGGTGGTCTTTTTGCTAAGCCTGATAGGCAGATGATAGATAGATAGATAGATAGATAGATAGATAGATAGATAGATAGATAGATTCATAGATTCACTTGTACTCAACTGATAAAGCAAATATAAGTAAAATCTTCATTTTCTGCCATTTAGAGAAATGAAGCTAACACAGAATGATCTAAGATTCTAATAAGCATAAACAACAAAGGCATCATTTGATCTCTCATGTGCTTGACTCTAGACTCTGTGAAGTGGGCACTGAACTGCCTCACGTTCTAAGGGTCCCAGGACAGAGACCCCAGCCTAAGTCTAGATAGGCTCTGAAGTACTTGCTAAACTCTGAGAATCAGTTAACCAACACATTTTGCATTGGTAATATTACCACAGGTAATGTCATCCCAGAGAGTCTAACTTGTGTCTAAGATAGGGACCAACATCTGTAGTTTTTAATCAACTGCTGCTAATTATTGATTATGAATAAAGGAGCTCATAGAAGCTGACAGATAGTTCATATGGTTATGCTTACTTTACAAGCACAAACACCAGCACCCATGTGAAAAGTGGTGTATTGGGAGCACCTGTAATCCCAGTGCTGGGGAGGCAGAAACAGGAAGATCTAGGGCTTTCCAGCCAGCCAGCCTAGCCTACTTGGCAAGCTCCATGCTCAGTCGGAGACCCTGTCTCAAGATGTGAGGACACACAACATCAACCTTTTGTTGCACACACTTGCACACACACAAGCACATGTACACATACACAAACATGCCCACAAGTGAAAACACACACACACACACACACACACACACACACATGAAAACAAAGGAACTCACACCATGGTCTAATAATCAAAGTTTATATGAAGAGTTCCAATTACAACAGTAGCAAGATATTGAGAATTACAGAAGGGAAGCAAATAAAAGGGATTTCACCATGTGTAGAACAAAAACATTATTTTCTGAGTTCGATTCTCTAAGATACAACAGAGGTCATCTGATATGCTGGCCACCATAATCACACTGGCACGCTTATTAAATCCCCACATTGTAAGAAATCAATAAGAAATTAGAAGGCTCTAAGCTGGTTTCTAGGCAATCTGATGTGGGGATTTGGGAATTGTTTTGTTTGCTCTTTATTTTCCATTTTGAGTTCAGCTTGGGAAAATCACATGGTTTAATCTAACCTGCACTCTCCCTTGGCTTGAAATACCCTAAATGGCAGGGTCCATTGCAGTGTGCACACCCAGGGCACACAACGATTAACACAAACACCTAAGATTTAGCACTTGCTATCTAAAAGGTAATTATTTTGCTGAGATCCATAACAAATGAGTGTTGCAAGGTTATAACTTAGAAAGCACTCAGATTCACACTTTTGAACAAACTAACCTCCCCAAGCCTAATAGCTTTTTAGTAATAAATTGATAGAGATAGTAGTAAGCCCATTTCACAATTTATAAAATTAAACTGAAAAGCTGAGCTGGCTTTTAATGCAGAGCCCAGTGCCCCCCACTGGAGCATTCTAGCAAGGGCTGTTTTGGCTCCTTTATAAAGACATGATGATAGCTATGACTGATGGGTTAGCTCTGAGCTAAGAGGAGGTAGAGTACATGCTGAAAAGAACATTCTCCCATGTGTTGGGATACCTCTGAAAGGCACCTGATTTTCAAAGGCATCCTTTGTGGCTGTGAAATTGTACTTTCTTCTTCATTATTCCCCAGCAACAATGCCATAAACTGAGGGGTTAGGAGCACAGCAGCCATTCTGGCAGGTCTCAACCTACGTAGCTCTCAGGCTGCACAAGAGAAGCAGGTCCATGTGTCAACAGCCAGCCAGGCATTCAGTGTCTGTTTTGAAGCTGTGGATTCACTGGAAAATTCACCTGGAGTTTCCACTTGCTTAATGAGAAAAAAAAAATCACACCTGCCACAGAGCTGAGAGCTCTCAGCCCCTGAGAAGATGTGCAAGGTGCACAGAGCAACCTGAGCATGGTTCTGCCCAGGCAGATCAGCCCCAGGACTCATCACACATGGGGTAGACTTGGCTTCATTATATCCAGATGGCCTGGGGAGGGGTGTTAATCTACAAAGGCCAAGAAAATGTCACAATCATTCTGTGTCCATAAAATCAACTTATAGCCACTGCACAGAAGAGAGGAAATGTGAGAGCCCTAGGATTGAGGCCCATCATGAATAGATACAACATAGCATGCAATCTCTGTAAACAAATTATTTCAACTCCTTGAGTTTCAGTTTCCCCCTGCCTGCTTATGAAATGTTGACCATACTAGCCACTAGCCAAGGACTAAGGAAAAAGAAATATAGCAAAGTTGGGTTCTCAATAGAATACACAGAGGCTGGCAGGGATCAGCAGAAGATGGCAGACTGTCCACAGGCATAATCCTTGGGTTTTTATAATAAATTTGAAAGTTTGGCATTCTAGAAGCACACACCCTAGCAAAGTGCATCAGGGGTCATGTGGTCATGTGGCAGTTCACAACTGGGATTTCCTAAACAGGACAACTTTATTAGAGAATAGTTATCCAAGGTGGCTAGTCTTAAATCATCTTTAAATTCATCTTCACTCAGTTATAAGTTATAGTTATATATAAGCTTTCAGGCTGCACAAGAGAAGCAGGTCCATGTGTCAACAGCCAGCCAGGCATTCAGTGTCTGTTTTGAGGTTGTGAGTTCATGGGAAAATTCACTTGGAATTTCCACTTGCTTAATGAGAGAAAAAAGCACATTCGCACCTGCCACAGAGCTGAGAGCTCCCAGCCCCTGAGAAGATGTGCAAGGCACACAGAGAAACCTGGGGATAGTTCTGCCCAGCCAGATCAGCCCCAGGACCTGTGTGAGTGAGTGTGTGTGTGTGTGTGTGTGTGTGTGTGTGTGTGTGTGTGTGTGTGAACTAGATATATAGCTTTATATATGTTATAGCAAGTGATGGTTTTGCTGAACTTACTTTATGTCAGTTTTTTGCAAAGATAGAAAATATCAGATCAACAAAATGGTTCAGGTGGTAAAGGCGCTTGCCACCAAGCCTGATGACCCACATTCAATCCTTGGGACCCCCATGGTGGAAATAGAGAACTGACTCCAGCAAGCTGTTCTCTGACCTCCACACGCGTGCCATGGTGTGTATACAAAACACACACACACACACACACACACACACACACACACACACACACAGAGTGTAATTTTTTTAAAAAGAAAGAAAATGTTAGAAGTACAAATGAAGTCATTCTTTGTCCCCTTATTTCTTTTCCTCCCTTCCCTCCACCCCCTCTGGGAGATGGGAATATGTCTTTATGATATAACTGTCTTCTGTTCTTTCATGTCTGTTTACATAAATAATATGTCATGTGAGTATGCTTATGATGTCTATCCTACTCAATGGATTATTTTGCAAGTTCATTTTGTCATCTAATGTTATGTTGATGAGATTTATTTATGTTGAAGCATATAGAGTCCATTAAGATATAATTGTTGTATGTCATTTTGCTGTTTGATTCTACTACAACTTAACCATTCCTCTAGATGTGGGAAGTTAGACATCTCCTACACTTTCAACTTCAAAAAATTATTCTACAGTGAACATCTTTACTAATCTCAGTTCTGTGATGTGTCCCTAATGGCATATTACTGAGTAGGTAGTGTTTCTTGGTTGTCGGTGGGTGTCCCTAAATTCTTTTTGCAGTGGAATTGTGCCAGTGTTCATTCCCACTGATCTGTGGGTGCATGTCCTTAGAAACACATTAGCATTTTGGTCTGTTTTACATGTTTGCCTGGCTAAGGTGGGAAGGATATCAGAAGAGTAATCCAAGGATTCCTGCTATTCTGTAGGGGAAATAGAGTCCCAGATTTGGAGCTGAACCATATGGTTCATTTAGAATCATTTCCTACCTTGATATGTCAATATGTGGTATTTTTATTTATAAGGACAAAGGACTTGTAGTAAGTGCTCTTTGTTAAGAAGTCCCAGGAGATTGTGACACAGAAGTCCAAGAACCACATTCACATGAAGAATCAAAGCCACATCTCGGCACCTGTGGCTTTTGATGGCTCCCTGGGTGTTGTCTAATCTAGCATGGGGCTGGATGCTCAGGACCCTGTGGGGCCCTCAGACTCTCAGCTCTATAAACAATCAGCATGACTGAGGCCCAGCAACTGTATTGACATACACAGGTGGCATGCAGGTGTTTAGGAAAGGCAGCTGCACCTCCATTTGATTGGTTCCTAGCTGTCTCCTCTATGGAGGTCTCAGGTGATGCGTTTCTCACTTCCAGATGTGAATTGGGAGGCAGAGTTTTGAGAAACTCTATTGAGCTTGATATAAAAGAGTATTGCCTCAACAAAGCCCTACCCCCTGCTCTTCAGTGCTAAGGGCATCACAAGCATCAGTCACCACTCCTTATGGTCCCAGCAGCATGTAAAGAAGGAAGGCACTCATCAATGCAAGAAAAGCCTTTGTAACCTCTGCTGTTGCCCCAAACCATACATAGGCAGGGCTACTCATCTATTTGATTTTGAGAGATAATGTGGGTGCTGAGGAGGTAGGCACTTATGGGTGACAACAGCATAGCTCATACAGACAACAGAGTGTGAGACCACACATAGGACACATCCCTTGCCTGTCCCTTCCTCACATCTTTTCAAGCCTGGCTTTTTGAGAACTGCCCAATGATGGAGGAGGCCTTTCCCCCATAGGCCACTAGTCCCCGCTGCTGCTTCTCCCCTGTGTCTTGCAGAAGTCATTACAGCACCTTCTCCAGACCCGGCTGAAGGTGCTGATGGCCAGGGAGCCATGATCCTGGATTCCCAGCCTTACAGAGTCATAATTAGCAACAGTTTTGATCATTAGTGGTGACCTGCCAGTGCCCTGGGTCATGACTAATTTGTTCTCACCTCCAGGTACCAGCAGTGCTGAAGTGAAGGAAAATCGAAACGTGAGCAACCTGGGGACTAGGCCCCTGCCCCCTGGAGACTGGGCCAGAGGCAGCACGCCCAGCATTAAAAGGAAAAGGCCACTGGAGGAAGGAAATGCAGGGCATTTCTGCAAACTCCAGCTGATCTGGAAGAAGCTCTCCTGGTCTATGACACCCAAGAATGCGCTGGTCCAGCTGCACGAGCTGAAGCCAGGTCTGCAGTACCGGATGGTGTCACAAACTGGCCCAGTACACGCCCCAGTCTTCGCGGTGGCTGTAGAAGTGAACGGGCTCACGTTTGAAGGCACAGGGCCCACTAAGAAGAAAGCCAAGATGCGGGCAGCAGAGATGGCCCTGAAGTCCTTCGTGCAGTTCCCCAATGCATTCCAGGCCCACCTGGCCATGGGCACTAGTACCAGTTCATGCACTGACTTCACCTCTGACCAGGCCGACTTCCCAGACACATTGTTCAAGGAGTTTGAACCATCCTCAAGAAATGAGGACTTCCCAGGCTGTGGTCCCGTCGACACTGAATTTCTGTCCTCTGCCTACCGGCGAGGACGGCTACTCTACCACACACTGGACCTCATGGGCCAGGCTCTGCCTGACAGGTCCAGGCTGGCCCCCGGGGCCCTGGGTGAGAGGAACCCTGTAGTGGTGCTGAATGAGTTACGCTCAGGTCTGCGGTATGTGTGCCTCTCGGAAACAGCCGAGAAGCCCCGAGTCAAGAGTTTTGTCATGGCTGTGTGCGTGGACGGGAGGACGTTCGAAGGCTCTGGACGCAGCAAGAAGCTGGCCAAGGGCCAGGCAGCACAAGCTGCCTTACAGGCCCTCTTCGACATCCGGCTGCCTGGCCACACACCCAGCAGAAGTAAAAACAACCTCTTGCCACAGGTGAGACTTCTCGGGTATCTGCCTGTCAGGTGGAAAGATGGATGTGAATTGGGATATTCTTGCTGTGATGGGGGAATGAGCCTGCCCCTCTCCCCCAGTGTCTATGAGCAGAGTATGGTGAAGCACTAGCCTTCCTGAAAAGGCCCCTTTCTTAAGCACACAGAGAGAAATTGCCGGGTTTTATGGATAGAAAATCATGAGAATATTAAGAAAGCAAAGAGATCATCAACACAGCAACTGAGCAGAAGTCATGAGAGAATTCATGAAGCTAGGCAACTTCCACAATGATGGAATCAACACTAGGGAGGAAAGACAGCTAGAGTCACAGGAAAGAAGAGGAGCCAGCAGAGGGCAGGGTCTTCTGTCCCCATCAAGGAGCCCAGGCTGCAGGAAAGTCAGGATTCATTTGTCAGACCTTCCAGTAGCTTAGAAAGTGAAGAACCAAGAAGAAAAATGTGTTGGTTGGTGGTCTGGGCTGAGTTTCTAGTCAGTTACTCTGGGGAAACCAAGATGGGAATTGTCTCATTGGGAGTGGCCAGGACCTCTGTAACTATGGTTTCCAACCAGGTGGGAATTTCCCCAAAAAGACACCAGCACAGACCAAGAGTTGCAGGAAGAAAAAACTTGCTGGAAGGCTGAGAAGTTAGAAATGAAAATTAGGGGACTGTGGATATGACTCAGTTGGTCTAATGCTTGCCCAGCATGGATGAAACTGTGGGTTCAATCCCCAGCACTGCATGAACCAGGAATGTTGTTGCATATCCATAAGCCCTGCACCAGGGAGGTAGAGGCAAGAGGACAAAGAGTTCAAGGCTATCTTCAGCTACATAGCAAGTTCAAGGTGAGCCTGGCATGCACGAGAGAGAGAGAGAGAGAGAGAGAGAGAGAGAGAGAGAGAGAGAGAGAGAGAGAGAGAGAGAGAGAGAGAAGAAAGGAAGAAAGAAAGGATCTTTCCCAGGTTTACCAACACATGGTGGGTCTGCTTTCATTTTTTTCTTTCTTGATGATACTGGGGTTCAAACCCAGAGCCACTTGCACATTAGACAAGGGGTCCCCCTGAGCTATACTCCCAACCCTGTGAGTCTGCTTTCTTAAAAGAGTTTACCTTCACTTGTTTAAGATGCCTTTGTAGCACTGCCTGAGTGTCAAGAATTACTCTCACACCACTTAAGACAACCTTATTCTGCCAAGTTCTATAATTGCTTATTTATGCAAATTATCTTTTCTCTTATCACTTTGAGACTTATTTGTAGATCTCACTAATGTGGCCGATACAGAAAATTATTTTTATTCATTCTGGGCATCAATCAAGGGAAGAAACACTTTACATAGTTAAAAGGCACTTAGCCCCGTGTGGGATTCATCATAAGTACTTAATAACTATGAGTTATTGCTGTGATCACCACCATCATGACATCACAGTGCCTGGAACAGAATCCCTTATTTTGCCTTAGGAGATAAAGAATACATAAAAGAATTCAGGATGTCATCAAAACCCCAGATACTGCTCAGGGATATGTGTGAAGCCACAAAGAGCATAAAGGGATTTTTACCTTAAATAACAACTGGATGGGACATTCATTCATTCATTCATTTATTCATTAACTCACTCCATATTTATTTGACTCTAAGTAGGCATGGGATAGATGCCACAGCAGATGTTTTTTGTGTCTGTGCATATGTGTGTGTTTGTAGCATATGCATGTATGTGTGTTTGGATGTATATATGTGTGTGTGCATGTGTATAGAGGCATATCAGAGATCAATGTGGTGTGTTTCCTCTATCACTTGCCACCTTTATTTATGTTTATTTTTAATTATGTGTACATGTAGGGGATATGCACATGACTGCAGTGGTCCCATTACCTGGCCCCATACCTGAAGTTACAGGTAATTGCGAGCCATCTGATGTGGGTTCTGGGAACTAAGAGGTCTCTGCAATAGCAGTATGCACTCTTAAACCGCTGAGCAATCTCTTAGCCCTCCACCTTATTTTTTGATACGGAGTCTCTCACTGACCCTGAAGCTCAGTAGTTTGGTGAGAATAGCTGGCCAATGTGCCCCAGTGTTCTGTCTGTCTCTAGCCCACTAAAGCTTGGATTACAGGCACGTGCTACCATTCCCTGTTTTTTATATGGATGCTGATGATCCAGCCTTGGGTCCTCATGCTTGTAGAACATGCACTTTATTGACTGAGCCATGTTCATAAGATGTACTGCTTTTCACAAATCTTGGGTGAGAGAAAAGATAAACTACATATGAGTCCCAGTTGAGGAATGGTGGTTTTTCCTGCTCTATCTACCCCCCCATTCATTTACTTTACCTCAAGCATTTATTGCACATGCAATAATCACTTTAAGGAGCGTGTGGGAGGGGTGGACCATAAACTTCATCAATCTTGCCTTTCAGCTTATGCTCAAATAAATGCATAACCCCAGTGAAAACAGTGAAAGAAGCAAGAACACTTTCTAGACCCACCCCTGTGCACTTACTAGCAAGAAACTCTATGCTCTTGCTTCCTCTCTTTTCTATGCCTTTGTCTTTTTATTTTCCTGACGTCTTCCCATTCTACCTTTCTGCTACCTGGAATCAAACTTGCAGAACAGCCAGGGACACACTCTCCTCCCTATTGCCTGGACTCAGGCTAGGCAGAAGAATGAGCCCCTTCTGAAACTGCCCATGACCTTTGGCATGAGCTTGATCAGCTCATCTCTCTTGCCTCCTTATTTTGAGAAGGCCCCACAGTTGATTGTGGGCATGCCCCTACTGCTGTTTCACTCTGCGGCAGCTTGATGCCACTTTGCAAAAAGGCTGGAGCTACCCGCAAGGCTCCCAGACAAGCCTGGGATTATCTATTTACTAGGACACCCACCCCATCTCTCTCTTCTGCTTCCTACTGTGTGAAATTGAAGGACGTCAGCGAGTTCTGGGTGTGATGCCTCCTTCTTTCATGTTGTCAACTCTGAGCTCTCACGATGGAGAAGCCAGGCAGCGCTACTACTTTGTAATAGTCATTTGACCCCAGAATGCAGCACATCCGTTAAAGCCATGGCTGCTAAATTATTTTTCTCTGACAGACTGCTAACCACTCCGACTGGATGATGAAGGGCATGGAGCGGCTCGAGGGTTGCCGGCCATTCATCACACCACAGCAGTACAGCCATGCCAGGGGCTCATTATCCTCTCGCCTCAGAACCCTTGAAAAGTGCACCCCATAGATGGGTGGGAGCCAAACATAACAATGGGAATCAGAACTGATGAAATGTAAAGCCTGTCCTAGATAGGGTCTGAGTTCAGGGGAGAATACAAGAAAATAAACAATTTTAAGGTTTACCGTAAGTGCTGGTCTGTCTTCCTAGTCAGCCTAAACCCCTTCCTTCTAGGAACCGTGTTATCTCAGAACCACTGTCAATACATCATGGGGCCTCTGTCTATAGATCACAGAAGTCCTAGCTATGCTCTGTGGAACCCTTGTCTACATGTCATGCAAACCTCTGTTTCTAGATCCTGAGTGTCTCACTAATAGATCATAGATACTCCATCTATATAGATCATAGAAACTCTATGCACAAATTATAAACCCCTGTCTACACATCATGGAATCCCCACCTATATATCAAAGCCTCTCATCTATAGATCATGAAACTTCAGGAAAACTATATCTGTGAATTGCAGAATTCCCTGCCTATAGATCGTAAGCCCCCATCTGTAGATCAGTGAACATTCTGTATACACATTCCAATAACCAATCAAAACATCATGGAACCTTTCCCTATATTTTGTGGACTACAACCTATTCATCATGGACCACCCATCTAACCATCATGGAAACTTCCCATAAATATTCTGTGCCCCTCATCTAAGAAGCATAGACTCATTCACTTATACTTCAAGAATTTCCCTCCTTGACTATATATACATCGTGAACACCACACCCTCATTCTTCTAGGATGTTCAAGTAAACATTTGGTCCAAAAGGCATATAACTCTGAGATTCAGGTCTCTAGAGATGTGTCCTTTTGTGATCTTTGTCTGATTGTTCTGCTAGCAGTGCCCTGGGTGCAGCAAACCAAACATCTTCACAAAACCATTGCTTGGGCTCAATGAACAGGGCACTTTCCACCTCCCCCGAGCAAGGACAATTCTTCCAGAGTTTGCTTTGAGAACCTTGTAGCAGTGCAATTTCTGGAACTTGGACACTGACACCAGTATTTAATGTTGTCTTCCCAAGTTCCCCATGTAAGACAAATTTGCAGGATAGCAAAGACACACATGTTATTCCATAGAAGGTAACTAAATGTAGTTTGTTCAATGTTTTAACCAAAAACTATCATTACCAGCAAGGCTTCAAGCCATCCTAGTGGGAATTCTCTTAGTTGTATGATAGGCTTTGAAACAAATACTTCCTGTGTGCTAGTGCTTAGGAATGTCAGAAAAGCGTGTTTAAGACATAGTGTTGAGGCTGGTGAGGTAGCTTGTTTAGTAAAGTAATTGTCATGCAAGCAAGAAGACCTGGGTCTATCTCCAGCACCCATTTAACAAGAACTGCATGTTGGTGTGCCCTTGTAATCCCAGAGCTCAAGACTTAGCAACAAACATATCCCTGGATTTGCTCGCCAGGCAGCCTAACTGAATCAGTGAGCTCCTGGCCAAAGAGAGACCCTGTCTCCAGAAACAAGAAGGAAGATATCCTGAAGAATGTCAACTGAAGTTGACCTCCAATTTCTACATGCATGCCACACACATGCACCTACACACACACACACACACACACACACACACACACACACACACACACACAAAACACAGCTGAGAATCTTAGTGGGTTCTGGAATGAAGACATAGTGTATACAGGATGTACAAGAGAATCCTAAAGAAGTACAGCCTCCTAAACTTGCCCCTGAGACCTTTGGAGTGTGTCCAAATACATGATGGTAGCTGCTGTGTTCAGAATCCAAACCATCAGCTTTAATAAACTACCTAAAGTAGAGGCACAGCAG